GATCACTTTGGTATATATAACTCTATATCTGACTCTTTTAGTTTTAGGACTTACAAACAACCGTTATGTGAACAAAACTATAATACTCTCTTTAGCAACCTTGTTGCGAGAGTATAAAAATTTGTATTTATTTCTTTATTTAAAAGAGAAACAATTATAAATAATTACCTCACTTACGAGCACTGGCTGCCAGGGCCTTCGGCTTACAATAAATGATAAAAATAATAATTTAATAGATATGTATATATGTAAAAACCAAAAAAATTTACAAAAAAAATTAAATATGTTATGGATATTTGAAAATATTCGATTTATTTCATTATAAAAAATTTTTAATTGTATTATTTCTGTTACTGTTTACTTATGATATTATATCACAATTCATGTAAGCTTTAATTTTAACGGGAGGGAAGATACGTAGCCTAACATAACAGTCTGGCTATCCTTCCGTTAACCTTATTACGATGTATAATACATATGAACGATATTAAGGTCTCGTATAAGCTTTATAAGAATAGTATAAGTCAGTCTTGAAATTCATTTCACAAATAAATGTTGTATATATATTATACTAACATAACTCGCGCTGCTCATGTGTAATTTTGTTTTTTGTTTATTTCTGAAGGGGGAATCTTCCATAGATTCTGATACGTGCATTCTTCTGAATCGTGCAGTATGCACGATTCGTACTGCTCGCTAATGGTACACCTCACTCGGTACCATGTCTAATCAGCATTATCTTACTATATTGGACTTGCGAACAAAACCCTTAACTCCGTCATCTCCGTAGCTTTGTGGGTAACCCCTGCGAGACCGCCGCTAAGCATTACATCGCAGGGCCTGCTTAGCCTATTGGCTCACGTCAATTAGCTCGCTATAGGCGGCCACAGCTTCGCTACTTCTTTGTTGTTCTACTCTTCTCAGCTATTGTATTATAAGAGCTGTCGTCCTCTCTATGGTATACCACACTTGTTTGCAGAATTTAAGGAGCTATATTATCAGGTATTATTAGGCATGCTACTTCCATCTCCAGATCCTGCCGCTCTGTTTTAAGTCTCAGGCAGTAGAAAAATGTATTCCCCCCATTTTCGCTACTTCTCCCACAGAAAGAGCAGGTAACTCCATTGTCATGACCATACCTATGCAGATACTCTCTGAAGCATCCGTGTTCTGTTAGAAACTGCGTCACGTAAAAGCCTGTCTCATCATGCTTTCGCTCCACTCATGCTTGTGCAGTCCCAATTAATCGATGCGTGCATTTAACGTTGCTGCTGTGCCCCAACGATTTCGCCGTTCCTGTAAGATGACTTGCCTTTCCTCTTTACGCTCTGTGAACACTGATTTTGATGTTCTCGCATATGTTTTTTTCATTAATGCTAGTACATTAAAATCGGTTTGCAAACCTTGGCCAAGAGCGCTCTCCTGCTTTGTTTTGGTGAACCTATGTTAGCCATGATTCTGGCTAAAGTTGTATTTACACGGGCATCATTTTCGCACACTTTCTCAATGTGGACTTTGTAACTGAGTCTCGCGTCTATCATTACAAAGAGGTACTTCAATACTGATTGTGTTGTAATGTTGTGTCCGTAAATATCTAGGGAGACATTTTTGAGATTTTTTCTGCTTTTTATAAGCACTGCTTCCGTCTTTTGTTCTGCGTGATTAAGAAGGTTTCGGATTTAAAATAGTACTCAGCCCTGGTTGCCCAGAGCTCCTTTATTTATAGATTTTCCTATCTTAATTGCACCACATGCAGAGTACATACACATTATTATTATTTTTTTTTATTGAAAAGGATAATACAATTACATCTTAACATTTTAAAAATTTTACAGCATTAGCGAGTAAAGCCATCAGCTTGTTAATATTAAATATTGA